TAATATTCTAATATTGGTCATGTATTTGGGGTTATATGTTATTAATAGAGTTCGTATAGTCCTAGACATTTAATTGGTTTAATGATAAACCTATGTTTAAGTCTGTCTAGGACTAGGGTTCTCCAACCAGTGGCGGATTTACAGTTGAGATTTTGGGTGTTCATTTTCTTTGAAAAATTAAAGAACAATAAATAATTAAATTAAATTTATATATGTATACTAGTATTTTGTCATTATTTTAGGTGTTCACTTGAACACCTTTGAACAATGGTGGCTCCGCCACTGTCTCCAACCCTTGCCTCTGCCTCTATATATACGCTTATTCCATATGGAATAAGGACAAAATATTAGTGAGAGATCTCTATCTGTCAAGAATCTTATAAGGAAAGAGATTAGAGGCCGGGGGATAAGAGATTTATTCCAGTTCATTCATCTATTATGGATCCAGGTATTCCTAAATCTCAGACTATCTATATGATTATGTATAATTATATGATGTCGATCTTGGAATTTAATCTAACAATGGATATCAGAGCCAAGTCCGATTTGACATCATAAATTATACTCGTATATGATTATAATTCCTTGCCGATCTGATTATATGCGTAGATGGTCGATTTAATTTTAATTGTGGATTCACGATCTGTTATTATCGGCAATGCATCTTTGGTATACCAGCATATGCATATACCGATTTCGTATGCTAATCCATGTACGTGTTCCATCTTGCGCGTGCCGCCAGAGGCGATGATACTCTGTTTTTGTAATCTTGATTATGCCGATTTTAGAGCATCTCCAGTGCAAAAATGTGAACAGTGCATACGTGGCATGAGAGACAACCAATCAAAAAATAATAAACATAATATCTATCTCCTTATTTGAAGGATCTTGTATCATTTTGGTAAGTTTTCTTGACAATGTCAAGCACAATGTCTAGATGTAGACATTGTGTTTGACATCGCAGAGGAAAACTTACCAAAAACAGATAAAACCGTGGAAAGAATGAGAGAGAAATGTCACAAATTCAACTTTTTGTGTCTATCTCTCTCATGCCACATGTACACCGTGCACATTGTAGCATTAGAGATGCTCTTAGATGATCTATATTAGGTCTGTTTTTTTGTTCAATAATCTTGGAGTTGCCTTTGAAACAAATTAAACTTTAAGGAACCAATTTCAGAACTTCGTCAATGACTTTAATTTTTTATTTCATTAAAGATTGGACTATTGGAGTTGACAAATTTAATATTCTCCTGTTTCAGACTTTAGTTGACGGATTGGAATTTTACGAATTCCTTAATTTAATTTGTTAATTTTTTTATATGATGCTTCCGCATATCAGTTTATAGTCCAAGATTTTTATATGGAGATATTTATGCACTAATAAAATTTAAAGTGATGTTATTTTTGTCTCCTATGATTATTTACTCAATTAATTGTTTAAATGTTTTGGTATCTTGTTAGTCACCAAAGTGGTCTGCCTAGTTTATTTAGACAATTTTGTTCATATATGTGTACTCATTTAAATTTCTAATGTTATGATACAACTAGTTTGGTTAATTAGAAATTTTGATTGAGTAGATCGAACTGATCATAATTAATCTACGTTTAATGAACATTTGAGTTTAATTATTTACATATAAGGAGTTTGTTAGTCACCAAAGTGGCCTGACTCATATAAGAGTTAGATAATTAAAATTTTATGATCTATTTGATTAATTAATCTATGTTTTGTGAACATATAAATTTAATTATTTACTTATAAGGAGTTTGTTAGTCACCAAAGTGGCCTGACTCATATGAGAGTTAAATAATTAAATTTTTATGATGTTTTTTTATTATTTATGTCCATAAATGTAATGCTTGTTAGTTACCAAAGTGAACGGACTAAATCAATTTAAGCAATTTAATTGAGTAAAATTTATTACATAACTATATTCACTCATTTAAATTTCTAATGTTATGATAAGTTGTTAATCACCGAAGTGATTTAATGGTTGGCTTAGAAATTTTAATTGAGAGAATTAGTCATGATTTTAGTAGATGGATATTTAAATTTAATTATTTACAAATAAGGAGTTCGTTAGTCACCAAAGTGGTCTGACTCATACGGTTAGTAAATAATTAAATTTTATGTAATTACACTTCTTCAATCGATTTGATTTATTTTCTATAAATATAATGCTTGTTAGTCACCAAAAAAGTGGCCTGGCCAAGAGTTATTAGACAAATAAATCTGAAAGGTCAAATCAATTTTTTATAATTTTAGGATATTAAATAATATAAAAATAATGCATTGAGATTATATTGCTATAAGATCACCAAAAGGTGGATCATGCATGTATAATTTTTGCAATTTAAGAGACTATTTTTTTAACTACGATTAAATTGGGTTAATGTCCAAATACAACACTCATTTAGTCATGTGTAATTAATTGTCTATTTTCGTATATTATTTGGCATCATTTTTATGTATATATTTCAGGATCACCCAAAGGTGAATTTAATTAAGCATATATGTTTAGGTTTTCTAAGAATGAATCTGTATTAGTTAATTCAAAGCATTAATAGTAAACATGTATATTGTTGCAGCTTCGTTAAATCTCTTATCGTTCACGAACGATTTAATTAGGGAATTCATGTTGGATATCAAGTCAATCAAGATTGTTACACATTTAGGTTTTGTGTGTTTCAAATCAAATCTCATAGAAGTTCCTAATAACACTTGGTGGTTAGATTCGGGTGCTTCTACTCACGTTTCTCACATTATGAAGGGATTTAAGTCCATCCAACCAATAAGAGGAAATGAACAATTTCTATTTATGGGGAATAGGATGAAAGCACGCATCGAAGGCATAGGAACGTATAGGTTGATCTTAGACACTGGATGTCTTTTATATGTAGATAATTGCCTTTATGTGCTTGATTGTGCTAGAAATCTTGTTTCAGTTAGTAGGTTGGATGTTTCAGGATTTCATATCAAGTTTGGGAACAATACCTTTTCATTATTTAAGGATAATTTTATTTATGGATCGGGTATGTTGGTTGATTCTCTGTATCGTTTTAATCTTGTTTTGAAATTTACTGAATCTCTATTTAATGTTGAAAATAATGTGGGAGTTAAGCGTAGTGCACTAGATGAGGACTCAGCTTTCTTGTGGCACCAACGTCTCGGTCATATTTCCAAGGATAGGCTAATGAGGTTAGTTAAAAATGAAATTTTACCTCAATTGGATTTTAGTGACTGGGATGTGTGTGTTGATTGCATTAAAGAAAGCCAAACCAAACACACAGTAAAGAAGGCGTCCACAAGAAGCACTCAATTGTTAGAGCTTATACACTGTGATATTTGTGGTCCTTTTGATGTTCCTTCTTGGGGTGGAGAAAAGTACTTTATCACCTTTATAGATGACTACTCACGTTATGGTTACATCTATCTGCTGCATGATAAGGCCCAGTCGGCAGACATCCTAGCGGTGTTTGTCAACGAGGTGGAAAGGCAGCTAGAGAAGAAAGTTAAGGTTGTGAGGTCTGATAGAGGTGGTGAGTATTATGGGAAATCCAATGAATATGGACGATGTCCAGTTCCACTCGCTAAATTCCTTGAAAGTCGAGGCATTTGTGCTCAATACACAATGTTGGGTACACCACAACAAAATGGTGTAGATGAGAGGCGAAATCGTACGTTAATTGAAATGGTTAGGAGCATGTTAAGTTATTCTACCTTACCCCCTTCGTTGTGGATGTATGCATTAAGGACTGCTGCATATATGTTAATCCGGGTTCCTAGTAAGGCAGTTCCTAAGACCCCTTATGAACTGTGGACAGGTAGGAAACCTAGTTTGAGACATATCCATATTTGGGGGTGTCCTGCAGAAGTAAGAGTATACAATCCGCATGAAAGGAAACTTGATCTGAGGACAATTAGTGGATTTTTCAATGGCTATCCTGAAAAGTCGAAGGGGTTTAGGTTTTATTGCCCTAGTCATAGTTCGAGAATTGTAGAGACAGACAATGCTCGGTTCATTGAAAATGGTCAAGTTAGTGGGAGTGGTGAACCACGAAATGTGGTCATTCAAGAACAAAAAGATAATGTCATGTTCCCACATGTCGGCCGCATCAATAGTAGCTCAAACACCAACGAACGACCTGAGTATATAGTTAGTGACACAATCACTAATGATCAGAATGAAGGTGTAGTCGGTGAACAAGATACTAATGAGCATGTTGTGACCACTTCAAATGAACATGTCATCACTCAAGAAAACGATAATTCGTTAGAAGGAATAGCGTTAAGAAGGTCATCTGGGGAAAAACGATCTGCTATTCCGTTAAGAAGGCCACTATTCATGAGACTTTCAGATTTCTCAAATGTTTCGGATGAATTAGAATTGTCTTGTGATATATGGAAGAAAGCGTGTCAGTATAAATGGTGTGTAACCGCCATGATCCATTCAATTTGAAATTCAGTTAAGTTTTTTCTTGATGAGTTTTTTTTGATGAATATTGCGCAATTTAAGTTTTCATCAATTCATCAAGGATTACATGACCAAGTGGGAGAATGTTAGAATATTTATTTAATTATTAATATTCTAATATTGGTCATGTATTTGGAGTTATATGTTATTAATAGAGTTCGTATAGCCCTGGACATTTAATTGGTTTAATGATAGGCTAAACCTATGTTTAAGTCTGTCTAGGACTAGGGTTCCCCAACCCTCGCCTCTGCCTCTATATATACGCTCATTCTCTAAGGAATAACAACACAATATTAGTGAGAGGTTTGTACCTGTCAAGAATCTCATAAGGAAAGAGGTCAGAGGGAATAAGAGATTTATTCCAGTTCATTCATCTATCATGGATCCATGTATTCCTAAATTTCAGATCTATCTGTATATGATTATGTATAATTATATGATGTCGATCTTGGAATTTAATCAAATAATGTTTAGTAACATGCACCTAATTAATATTAATATTTATTTATCATATAATTAGGAGAAATTTCATACACGCCCAGTATGATAGACGCTAGCACGCACATGTATTATTACGACGTAATTAATTGCACAACACCTAATAATTTAAGTACGGAGTACGTCCAACCAACATAATTAATTAAGGTGTGTGTAATGCATATCATATACTCCGTATTATTATTATACTACGTATAACAAAGGACAAAAATAATCAATATCTGTACGTGTATAATTTATAATTAATTACTACGGCTGGGCAGATTGACTAGAGAAATTGGCGCAGGGTGTTTTTCATCAGGTAGTCAACAATGATCCGGTTGGTTTTCTCGGTGAGATGGAAGGAATCCCAGAAGACGTACTTATTCGCATCCGTACATGTGAACGGGTTCATCCGGTCACACAGGTAGCTCATCTCGAAAAGCCCTGTGCCGCAACAAGCGACTGATGCCACGTCAAACCCTATACCACAACAAAATTAAATTATATTACACCACTTCATCAATATGGACTAATAAACTTCAAATTGTATAAATTAGTACACAAATGTTAGGGGACACAAGTTGTACACTTATATACAACTTGTAAACAAAATGTCGGTCACAGAAAATTGGTACGGAATTGTCTGTGGGCACAAACAAGAGTTTTCTGTGTACACAGACAACTTTTGTTTGTGTACACAGACATTTACTTTCTTGTAAAAAATACACTGACAGCCACCTGACACAACCAATATTTTCATGTTGCACAGACAATTATTTGTCTGTGTGCACAGACAATATTTACCACATAGACAATAGTTGTACGTCTAAGAGATAATAGTTGTCTGTGTGATCAACTTTAGTTGTCGGTGATCAATTTCAATTGTCTGGGTGAAAAAAATAATAATTGTCTATATATATCCAAATGAATGATGTAGTTGTATGTGTGATCAATTTACATGTAATTTGAAAACAATAAAAAAAATAATAAAAATAGATGAAATAAAAAAAAGAATAAGCTGATTTTGTGCAAATAATGAAAAAAATTGATATAAAAAGGTGGAGAAAAAGAGGATGAAAAGGGAAGAGGAAGATGAAGAAGAGAAGATGATCTCTCATTTTTCTTGAGATATTGGAATGGATAGGGTAAAGAGGAAAGAGAGAAGGAAGAGGGGGGAAGAGAGAATGGAGAGAGAAGGGGAAAAGGGAAATGAGATTTTTTTGAGCCTTTTCATGTGTACAGTGTACCCCATGTGTACCTTAAACATTTTTCAACTTAGTGTGTAGTCATTTGTCCTCCCTCTCCATGTTCTTTCCAGCAGGACTTATTTTATTAATAATGAAATCATTATTTTATTTATAATACAAACGTTAAAATATAAAAATATAAAACAAAAATAAAAATTACTAAAAAATTAAGTAAATCACATAAGAAATATATGTAGTCACGTGTCATCGTATCTGCTGCCTCCCAGCACTGTCACCTCCGATTGTTGGAAAAAATGTCACCTTTTGTAGAAATATCATCTTATATACAAAGATGACATTATTACTCTTTGAAACCGCCAAATTTTGTTCTTTAAATACGATCAAAATGGCCCTTTAAAAAAAACTACGATCAAAATAGCAATTATGGCATTAGTTTTGCGAGTTGGCATTTTTTCTGGCAATCAGATAATGGCGGTGCAGGGAGATGACCGCGTATTAACACTTTTTTTTGTTTTTTACATTTTCCTGGCAATTAACACCTTTTTTTTTTACTTTTTGTGATAATTAAACCTTCTTTTACATTTTATTTTTTTAAAATTTGTATGTTTTATTATTACTCCGTATTATAAATATAAAAAACCTTATTAAAGCATGACAAGAGAAAGAGTAGAATGGGAAGAATTATTCCTATTTTTGAAACTTAAAACTTATACTCCTATTCTTGCAATTTAGCTATTATTTAATCCTATTTATGGAATACTAATTTACAGTTAGGGGAAAATCTCGAAATTTCTTGATTAAAATGTGCAATATTTTAACTTTGGTAAACTACAATTTTAGTGAATCCACTTATATTTATTAAAATGTGTCTATTAATTAATTAACTAAATCTGTTTTGTATAACTTTTATCTGCGACGACTCAGTTTTAATAAATTATTAAACAAAATTAATAAAATTAAACTTAAATTCTTATTGTATAATCGAATTATACAGTTTTATAAGACACGCATATATAGTAAACAAAATTCCAAAGATGTAAAGAAAAATACTAAAATATCGGTCAGTCGCTCTATTTGTCTCAATATTTGACTTTGTTCGATTTTTAATAGGTGAGAACCATATAATTAATATGATTACAAATTAGTCAGAGAAAACTTAAATAATACCAACTCCACAATTATTTTCTAAAAGAACAACATAATTTAGACACTACTAAAAATTAATGCATGTAAGAATTTGAGGAGTATAAAACAGAAGATATATATTAAAAATATTATATACTCCGTACATGGTTTTTTTTATTTATTCTTTTTAGAAAGATCTTCATTTACTCTATAAATCTTACTACGTATATTACAAAATCAATTGCAAGCAATTCTAACTACTTGTAAATTTCAAGCTAACGAGCATTTAACCCCGAAATAAATAGAAACCAAATCATTAAATATTAGGTAAAACAATATGAATAAACTACAAATCAAATATTGGAAATAAGTGAGAGATAAAAAGTTTTTTGTATGCTTAGAGTTGATCGAAAAGCTAACGAGGGTACGATTTTTTTAAGTCACAACTCGGTACCCATTTAAAAATGTGGTACCATACCTACCACTCACTTGATTGGTCAATACCATTAAATCATTTTTAATTTAGATTTAAATAATTCGACTGCATTATTCTAATTGGTCCATGTGAACAAAAGTATGACACACTATCAACTTTTACTACTCATCACTTTTTCCAAATCACTCCAAAAGTGCTTTTTAAGCAGAAGCTGTTGCAAACCAACCCTAAAAGGATATCAAACAATCTACCTTTTTTTAAATGGGGGCATATTGATTTTTTCAGTGGGAGCATTATCTAGGGTAGGGCTGGGCATATCGGTTTCGATTCGGTTTTTATCGATTTCGGTTTGGAACGGGTTGGGAAAATTATTACCAAACAAAAATCTTACCATTTTTCAATTTGGTTTGGTTTAGTTCGGTTCGGTTTGGATTTGTTATTTTTTAATAAAATATAAAGGATTTTTTGAATTTCTTTAGTTCGGTTCGGTTTAGTACGGTTTGGAAAAAATACTACCAAACTCAAACCAAATTGTATACGGTCCGGTTTCGGTTCGGTTTGGTACGGTTCGGTTCGGTTAAACCAAACCATAATGCCCACCCCTAATCTAGGGCATGTACTTCCATTCCATTACATATGTGCCGATCCTGTTCTGAGTTTCGTGCTAAAATGTAAACTTATAGACTTATGAGTGAGTACTTTACAAATTACAAATATAACAGAGGAGTAAGGGTTCCATTCCATTACCATGTTAAGACATGGGGTTTCAACCTAAAAGGTCAACCTAATTGGAGGAGTAATCCATGTGTTAATATAACATTTGGTTCATCCAAACTTTTCCGGTGTGAGACATTTAACACCCCTCCCCATGACTAGACACTTTGTCTGGATCGTGTCATTATTCTTTTTTTTCATCGGTCCGTTTTTTTCATTCAGTCGTAATTGTCATTTTTTCATAAGGGGGCCCCACACCATGGATCGATTTGGCTCTGATACCATATCATGTCAAGACTCAGGGTTCCATCGTAAAAGGTCAACCTGTTAGGAGAAGTAACTCAAGGCTTTATTTGTTGGTTTGTATTTCTACACGCAACCGGTGTGGGATAGCTTAATATCATGATTTGACAATTTCATTCATGCAACTTGTCAATTTGACAAATTTAACCTTTTCAGTAAAGCATATCAACGAGCCCCTAGCCTATAGGTTATTTAGGATGTTTTCTTTTGGACTGAAATTTGCTGGTCTGGTCTGGTCTGATCTGGTCTAGTTTGTTTAAGTCTGGTCTGGTCTGGTCTGGTAAACGTCTGGTCTCTGTGTATTTTATAACTATCCAAGTCTGGTCTGGTCTGGTCTGGTCTGGTCTGGTCCGGTCTGTTTAAGTCTGGTCTGGTCTGATCTGGTCTGGTCTGGGACTGAAAACAGTCCAAAAGAAAACATCCTTAGTATCCTCATGTAACTCGTCAATTTGACAAATTTAACCTTTTCAGTAAAGCATATCAACGAGCCCCTAGCCTATAGGTTATTTAGGATGTTTTCTTTTGGACTGAAATTTGCTGGTCTGGTCTGGTCTGGTCTGGTCTGTTTAAGTCTGGTCTGGTCTGGTCTGGTCTGAACTGGTCTGGTCTGATAAATGTCTGGTCTCTGTGTATTTTATAACTATCCAAGTCTGGTCTGGTCTGGTCTGTTTAAGTCTGGTCTGGTCTGATCTGGTCTGGGACTGAAAACAGTCCAGTGGACCGGTTGGCTTATACGTACTAATTCTTAATGCATTATGCAATGAGAAAGGGTAGGATATAAGAAAAGGTATTCCTATTTTTGGAATTTAGAACTTATTCTCCTATTCTTCAAATTTATCTATTATTTAATCCTACTTATGGAATTCTAATCTACGGTCAGGGGCGGATCCATAGATTTGGTGATTAAAATGTGCAATATTTTAACTTTGGTAATTAAAGTACAATTTTAGTGAATCCATTTATATTTACTAAAATGTGTGTATTAATTAACTAAATCTGTTTTGTATAACTTTTTTATGTGACTCAGTTTTAATAAATTAGTAAAAAATTACTAAAATTAAACTTAAACTATATATATAGGCTAAAGGGTCAAATAGGCCCTTGAACAAACTTAAAGTGTTCAATTAGTCCCTTATAAAGGAGGTTCAGCCCGGCCATTGCCAATTGGAGAGGTTCCCGGTAGAATTTTTTGATGAAAATTTTTTAGCATCTTCTTCATTAAGTCGAGTTTACCCATATCAAATTTCAGCTAAAAATTAAATCGGAAAGGCAGTCAAATGATTTTCTGAAATGTATTGCGCTGTTTAACTACGCAGTTATCTTCAAAAAATCATTTGATTGCCTTCCCAGTTGAATTTTTAGCTGAAATTTGGTATGTGTAAACTAGACTTAATGAAGAAGATGCTAAAAAATTTCATCAAAAAATTCCACCGGGAACGGCCTCAATTGACGACGGCCGGGCAAAACCTCATATATAAGGGACTAATTGAACACTTTAAGTTAGTTCAAGGGCCTATTTGACCCTTTGGCCTATATATAAACAAGGCGCATTTTATGTGGAACAAGGTAAGTCTAGGGAATTTTCTCTATTTTATATGATCCTATATACAAACACCGACCTACGGATTCACACACATAATTTTTTGTTCAAATGAGAATGATCATATCTTAAAATGAGAAAGAATATAATTGAATTCAATATATAAATTTTTTAAAAGACTAATATTGCAAAAAGATAATGAAAATGCACAAACATGTTCAAAAGTTATAAATTTGGTGTGCCAAGGAAAAAAGTGCATTATATTAAGTATGGGCGAGCGCATAAATCTATATATGCTCATTTCCCCACACCAATCAAATATCCTATGTATTTTAATAGAAACATATATGGTTGGGAGGTGGGTTGTTGGCTAATCCATAGATAAAGGAGTTAAAGAAGAGACAGATAAAGGGGTTGAGGACTTGAGGTAAACTAGCCCATGGAAGGTCATTTATCGATTTAAGGTCAGATATTGCTCTCCATTTATGGTCCAACAAGGACCGCCGACTTTTCAAGCACATGCAATCATTAATGGAGTAGGCTCCTAAGACATACGAGTAGGTAAGTGACAAGTATTATGTGAGTTGCAATTGGTGTACATGATGTTTTTGAGTCTTATATATCATTTGGGTATGGCTCCCATAAAAATGACAATATTCTTCGTGCGAATGTGCATTATAGTTCATTTTGGTGTAAAAATACATTGTGAGTACGTACGTAGCATGTACTAATGTGATTAAGGGCCGGTGTTTGGATCTTTACTTCTTAAAATTGATTCTTCTCTTTTAGCAAGCAAAAGCACATATTGAAATATTGGAATGTTTGGATGAAACTATAGAAATATTTTTGGGTGTTTCAAATTGCTTCTAAGAGCACTTCTTTAAAAGATGGAGGAGGTCAGGTTTTGAAAAACGGATTTTGATTTTTCTTCTGCTTTGAGAAAAGAAGCAGAAGCAGAATCAATTCTAAACACCCCTAGTACCACGCTCAAACCCGAAAATAACAGGTACAGCCGAAAATTATACAATTCTCCCTTTTCAATTTATCCTCTTCACTATATTATATGATTGGGTTACATATGGAGGTAGGATGGAGCACACCTCAGGTCTCGTAAAGAACACGTACTTCTTGGGCATGGGCATCGGTAGCTCGGTCATGCTATACCTCAACTTATCTCAAATTTGAAAAAAACTTTAATTATATGAGTAAAATAAGTAAAATTATTTAACAAATTCTTTTAAAGGTCATGTCAAAGCTATCGTGCACCAGTGTTCAAGTCATCATGCGCGAATGTACCAAGATGCATATATGATCTTTGCGGTAGACTTAATTACATTGTGAGTAATGGCTGTAATGCAAATTGAATTGGTGATTGTGAGTAATGTAAATTGGTGTATGTGACTTTCTTTGGCAAGAAGTCATGTGAGTAAAAAAATGGTGTTAAAAACATGTTGCGGCCGTAGTATTAATGCGGTAGCGATCCAAAACGCAACCGCATCAAGCCGCGGCCAGTTTTGGTGTTTTTTTAATTCACATCCAAAACCGCAAACTTAATACAATTTTCTTATTTCGTGTAACTTTAAAACTAATTTACACTATGCAGTGGGACCGCAGTATTTTCCAAGTATATGAATATATGATGGAGGATATGGAGAGAAATGAGTTTAATTATTTCGTACCATATGAGGAAGGTTTTGTGATGATCTGAAGCAAAACGGTGTAGGCGTCGGAGTAAACAAGGCGGAGTCCGGGAAGCTCCCGGTTGAGCTTACTCATCATGACATTCAAAAGGGTGTTGAAACGCGCAGCCAGGGTGTTGTACTTTTGGTTGCAGACATTGCCAAAGCCGCCCAGGAAACTGGTGGTTCGCTCCAGGGGGAGACAGCCCATGGGAGGGAGCCCTCCCAGGGCTATCTTCCTCGCTCCCAGCCCATAGATTTCCCTCACGAACTTCTCGGCGATCCCGAGGATGAAGCCCTGGAACTGCTCCACCGTGAACTGCTTCCCCCTCCGGCTCCCGGGCATGTAGTAGTTCTCCAGGAAGTCGTTGGTTCCCATGCTCACCACATACAGCGACTCCTGGATCACGTACCTCGCCCTTCTCCCTCCCGCATATGCCCGCAATTTCTTCTGATACTCTTTGTAGTTCTCCACTTCCTTCCACAATGGTATCACGTTCTGCAGGTCACATTACATTAAATTACATTACATTCATCATATGGGTCACAATTGCATTTCATGAGTAAAATATCGTATACCGTGGTGACATGGAGCCCCACAGGCCAGAGGCTGGAGGAAGTCTGATCTCGGGCTTATAGTAGTGTTCTTTTTAATTTATAAAGCTCAAAATAAAGATTATGATTCATTTTCTTTCATTAGTATCAAATATTACTTCTAATCGTTAGATCCAGTTTATGATAAATTAAATGTTAGAGATGAAAAAGTAAGATTAAATAATCTGAGTCCCTATATCGTACACCCGGGTGTACGTACATCCGGCCCAATTAATGAATTTGACTGGTGGGCTGACATCTCGTCCCAGCGAATCGCGACCATGGGAACTGGATTCCTTCACAAAAAAAATAAGAACCCCAATGGGATTCGATCCCCAGACCCATAGTAGCATATGTTATCTTCCAACCATCTCACCAATTCGTCTTGTTGAAATAATTAGTTCTTTTATTTACTTATCCTATATAGTTTCATACTGCGTATTATTAATAGTAATTATAATATTAACTATTCTTTTGCCTTTTCTCATTATTACTATATTAAAAGAGTAATTCATATTTTTGAAGTATTTATTTGATCTATGAATGATAGTATTAATTTATATAAATATATTTATATTTTTTTATATAGTGTTAGGTTCCTAATAAGCATGATGCTCATCAAAATTGTTTTAATGCTCATAATAGGTCTGATGCACATTAAAAGTTTAATAATGCTCATTTAACAGAAACAGTGATTTTCATCTCAATAGATGATATTTGATGCTCAATGAATATGTTGTTATTCAAACTAACAAACTTTACGATTTTCATATCTAGGAACATTTTGTAAGATGTGCATGCTCATCCGGTATTGATCTTATATTTATTTTCTAAATGTCATATCAGCATATTTTCTTTAAAGTACTATTTTACATTAGGTTCACATATTGAGATTCATAGGAGTTGATTAGAAATATAATTTAATAAGTTTTTATAAAAGGAAAATTGCATTGATATGACATTGTAAAAATGAGCATAACATGAGTACCAAATGAACATACATAACTTATAAAGTGCACATTGATATGAAAATCGTAACATTTCTTAGTTGAACATCATGACATTTTAATTGAGCATTCAACCTCCACTATTGAGATGAAAATCACGACTTCTAGAGAATGAGTAATAATGAACTTTTAATGAGCATTATACCTATTCTGTTGAGTATTAGAAGTATAATATTCAGAATCGTGATATCTGCTTCATAACTTCTAATTCACTTTCTTTTTGTTATTTTTATTGTAAGGTTTGTTAGTTGAACATCACGACATTTTAATTGAACATCAAACATCTGCTATTGAGATGAAAATCACAGTTTCTTGTGAATGAGCATTAATGAACTTTGAATGAGCATCATACCTATTATGTTGAGTATTAGGAGTCTATCATAAAATAATACATTTAGAAAGTGAGCATAAGATCAGTACCAGATGAGCATATGTAACTTACATCACGAGTATTAATGAACTTGTTAGTTGCTTTGTTAGTTGAACATCACGATATTTTCATTCAGCATCAAAACTCCTTTATTGAGATTGATGAAAATCATGATATGACATTTGAAATATGCATTGATATGACATTTTAAAAATGAGCATAAATGAGGATAAATTGAGCATATGTTACTTACAAAATGAGCATTGATAAGTTTTTTTTATTGAGCATCAAGACATTTTCATTGAACATCAAATCTCTTCTATTGAATATTAGAAACATTCAATAGAGTATCAAGGTATGTGCTCGATCTAGTATCTAGAATGAACTCCTATGTAAATATTATGTAATACGACACTTTTGTAGTATGCATTGATACAACATTTTAAAATGAGCATAGATCTAGTACCAAATGAGCATACAAAACGTACCAAATGAGCAATAATATTCTATTGAGCATTAGGAGTTGAGCATTAGGAGTGTAACCATGATATCGTGATCTTTGATTCATATTTTCTAATTACTTTCTTTTTCTTATTTTTTCTTTTATAAAAATTTATTAAATTATATATATAATCATTTTCTATGAGCGTAACTTCAATATGTGAATCTAAAGTAATATTGCACTTTTGAAATATGCATTGATATGACAATTTTAAAATTTGTTAGTTGCTTTGTTAGTTGAACATCACGGCATTTTCATTGAGTATCAAACCCCTTTATTGAGTCTAATATTACACCAATATCAAATGTGCATACTCAACTTACAAATGAGTATCAAAAAAATCAAAAGGCTCATTCAAAATCCCTATAAATTTCAATATGTGAATCTAATGTAAAATAGTACTTTTAAAAAATGCATTGATATGAACATTTAGAAAATGAACATCAAGACATTTTCATTGAGCATCCAAACTCTTCTATTGAGTATTAGAAACATGTAATTGAGTATCATGGTCTGTGTCGTAGTATCTATTATCAACTCCTACGGAAATCCAATGTAGTATGATACTTTTGAAAGATGAATTGATATAACATTTTAAAGTGAGCATAACACCAGATGAGTATACATAAATTCTCTTATGTGTTTAAATATTCATTTCTGGCCATATATTATAATGACATATATACTAATGAGATATATACAATTTTACAATTTTATATTTAAAATAATTTATAGTCTTTCAAATTAAATATTTAATCGGGTTCTTTTTGTAATGGTCACCCATTCATATTTGTTTTACATTATACTCATTTCAATATATCACAAAACTTATGTTAGTAATTAGCATATAATATATAATAATATGATAAACATTCATCTTAAATTAAAAATAGAAAAAAACATCAATACCTTAAATACTCATATAAATTAAAATCAATGGAAAAAGTGGTTAAGAAAAAAAAGGAAAAAGAAACGATCAAAAAAAGGGGAAAGCAAACAAAAGAACTATAGAAAGCAAAAAAGGTGGTCAATAAAAAGACGTATGGACAAACGTCACTTCGTAAAAAAGGGCCTGCTCACCATGTCAGGTGGGCCGCAGCTCCATAAAAGTTTTTAACTACACCTGCAGGGCCCGAGTCCACATACGCAGGGAAGAAAGAATGCAGACGGAAGAAGTACAAAAAATTACAAAAATACCCGGATGTACGGAGAGCACCGTACATCCGGGTGTACGATATAATTTGCGAAATAATCTAGCTACTTTCGAACAAATCAAGATCTAACGTTAGATATTTGGTCTTAAACTTTATTTCTGCCAAAAATGAATCGGCAACGCTTCTCATCGTTTGTTATACGTCGCGTCGTATGTATTTCTGGTTTGACTTTATGGTGCTTTTAAAAATTTAAACCAAATAGCGGGCATAAATCTTTCCTGCATTCCATCCGAATGATTTTAAAAAAACATTTATTGTTGACATTTAAATTCTCCTTTTTCAAAGTTTTACTTGCAAAGTTTATCTTTTAAGTGGGATAAAATCCAAATCCTAAAAAATTGAATTTCAAAATCTCCTGCCAGGGGCAGAGCCAGAATCTGATGGAAGGGGGACCGAAATTGTTTATATGTTGATCACTTAGTTTTTAGTTTTAACAATGCATTCCTCGTATTTGTTTCAAGTCTGCATTTTATTGTTCGAACATATCTAATATCATGTACAATATTTCTTGTGATGATATAATTACACATTTACATCTCTAGAATAGGACGGGCACCACTTGGTGATGGAGATTATTTTTATTAGCTATTAAAAATTAGGTGATAATCAAAGTACTTTATACTATTATATTAAACAAAAAATATTGATTCTTCGCCCAACAGTTATGCCCAAAGGTTTCCTTTCTTCGTGGGTGAATAAGGATGTTGCAGATAAACTGTGAACAATGATTTCATTTATTAAATTTGTGCATAATTTATAAATTTTATACTTTTATGAAAATATTTTGAATAATGAACATTTTCATATAATTTTCATATTCTAAATAGTTTCATAATAAAAAATATGTAGTATCGCTAATCAAAGTTGATTGCCATTAACTAAGCCAATAAGAACTTTTTTTTGGGAGAGAATAACATACTCCTTCCGCTTCTAAAAGAAGTTCCAAATTTCCTTTTCGGGCAGTACCAAAATTAAGTTTCACTTTCAAATATTTCTTTATTTGTCAAATTATCTATATTAAAACAGTGTCAAACGGTATCCAAACAGTACCAAATTTATTTTCTTATATGTGTGAAGTTATAACAGGAACTTGGTTTAGAACGGGACTACTTTGCATGAATGTTAGAGAGTACTTTTTGTCTCCCACTCATCACGGTGGAATTATTTGGTTTAATTCTCTCTCTTGTGTTATCTTTAACTTGACTAGCATCAAGGAGTGAAAACAAGATTTCAAAAAAAGAAAGGGAGTGAAAACAATGACAAATACTACTCCGTACTTCTTTTTGGCATATTAGGATACTTTTTGAGGGTGGATATCTAATAGGGAATAGTACTCACAGGCAACAGGGAACCATATCCATTACCATTCCATGGGTATCTAAATTCTTTCTTGTTTAAGCTTTAGTTTACTAAAACAAAACATTACATATTCCCCTGTCCCTTAAATTTTATACTCCCCCCTCCCTCTCTTACCTATAAAAACTCCTCATTTGACTGGGCACACAAATTAAGATAGTGGATATAGTGTATGGCGAAGAGTTGTGCAGAGGGAGAAAGAAATGTATAAGAATAATTGTGAACCACAGATTCTTTGTCAAAAGAGGAAAATTAAGATAATTTTGAGACGAATGGATAAAGAAAGATTGGAGATAATACATGGACGGATGGGGAGTATCTTTTTTGTTTGATGTCACAGAAAACTTTACTACTCTATTTTAATCGATTATTTTATGGTTTTTGTTATTTTTTTTTGTTGATGTCCGCAAGTTTGGATCACATACTTTTGGTATTGAATAATATGGAAAAGTAAAGATTGGTATAGATTTTGGACTTACTAGGACGGCGGAGGTAGCATTGTCATAGCCAGTGCCGGCGGAGGCAAAGCAGACGCCAGCTGCGAAGTCGGAAATATTGTAAGCGGGGTCGAGGTAGGCTGGGACGAAAGGGCGGAGGCCGAGACCCTCGGATATCAAGTCCGACGGGACCCGACCGTTGGAGAACCTCCCGGTGGGGCGCTTGCCGATGAAGTCGCGGCCGTAGGGCTCGAAGTTGCTCTTGAGGAGCGTGGAGATGCGGTTGTTGTTGCCGGTGTCCACGGAGGAGTCGCCGAACACTATCACCGCCGGGACTTTGGCTGCAGCGCCAGTCATCAAGGTGATGAGAGGCAGCAGCAGTAGTAGTACTACGGTGACGGCGGCGGAGAGCACCATTTATTTAAGTAGTCGTACTTAGCTTGTGTGTTTTATTGAATTCGATCTTACCAAGAATGGGGCGGTTTACAGTATTAATAAAGGAGCAGAGATTGGAGTAATTAAGAGCTGAGGGTGGGAGTTAGAGCACCCACTTTATACTGGTTAGTTGTCTACTTCTATCAGTCCACTCCATCCTTCTCTTATCTCACCTATCCTTTCAGCCCAAAATTAATGTAAGCAAGCCTTCAACGACTTGGCATTTTTTTTTTGTTTTTTTATGTATTCTTTCTTACGCACCCAGAACTAGACATTCAGGCTAGGCGTCTGTCTACTTGACTCCACACCAGCATCAGTGCATCACTGCCCCCCATTTTAGGCTTTGTTTGCAACCACTTAAGAAAAGTGATTTTGGCTTTTTAAAAAGAAAAAAGCACTTATTTTACCAAACACTACCAACTTTTACTTTCTCGGCTTCCGTGTAAAATCTACTTTTTACTTTTTCTATTACACAAAAAACACTTATTTTACCAAACACTACCAACTTTTACTACTAATCACTTTTTATCAAAAAGTGCTTTTATTTAAGCACAAGTGGTTGCAAACAAAGCCTTATTCGTGTTCTCATGTGTCCAGACAACTTTATCATAAAATATCTAAAATAAGAACTTCATATTGAAAAATGCTAGGGGTACACCATTTGTGTACACCCTTGGCACCCCATTTAAATACTCCCCTACTTTTTTACCTCACTTCTTTTCCTTCCCAATTCAAAATTTTACCCTATTTTCTTTTCCCTTCAATCCATCCCAATTCCCGCTCCATAATCCCGCACCCCCTCCACACCGACCGCCATCTTCGCGGGACAACCGAACCCACCCAGCGACGCCGGACAATCGAAGCCATCCAGCGACGCCGGACAACCGAACCCATCCAGCGGACCCACTCCACGATTCGGACCGCCATCTTCCCCTTCCTCGGCTCGGCTCTGCTCTGTAGAAACGAAGGTTGCTGTAAAAATCATGGCCAATCGAAGTTCATAGACGGACAACCGAACCCATCCAACTGAAGTCAGTTCGTCGAGGCGCTGGTCCAAGTTCGTAGACACGCTGCTGTGCTCCAACTCTACGAGTCGCCAGTCCAACTTCAACGAAAAAAGAAGATAACTTTGAAGCCATGGTGCGAACAAGTTTAACCGATCTTGCTAAAAGGTAATATTTTCATCCTTGTGCAGTACTCACCTTACCATAATTGATTTAATTTAATTAAAGTAGACCTAATTTTCTTTGTGATTTAAGAGTTGTTTGAGATGTTATTAGTGTGTTGTTAGATGTCTGTGACATGTTCTGAATTGTCTGTAAGGAATTCATACATGAGTGTGATGTTTTAAATAGATGTCTGTCATTCATATTCCTGTGTCTGTCTTTTTTTTGTAGTTGTCTGTCCAATGCTTAGAATTGTCTGTCTCGTGTTTTCAGTTGTCTTTCATTTGTTTTCAATTGTCTGTCATGTTTTCATTTGTTTATTGTTCATATATCCTTGTTTGTCTTGTGTTGTGAGCTGTCTGTGAAGAATTTTTAAATGTGTGCTGTGATACATAGATGTCTGTCATTCTTATTGAGTTGTCTGTCTCATTTTGTGTGCATTTTTGGAAATGTCATAGGGCTCTGGAATTGCAAATTCCTGTCTGTGACCACTTCCCCGCTCAAATATCACAGTGTTCTGAATACAAAGATGCTGCGAAGTTGGTGAAATCGGGTTTGACTTCTGCGCAGTTTGCTGAGTTTCGGAAGATGCCGTGGGGCCATGTAACACCCCGGCCCCACCGGACCCGAGGTAGTTACTCCGGACGAATAATACTGTCCTCACAAACCGCCACTAGCCTTTTCCGCGCACTTTGTCCTCACTCGTGCGCGCCCTGAGAAACTTCCCAGGGGGTCACCCATCCCAAGACTACTCCCGTGCAAGCACGCTTAACTTTGGAGTTCTTGGGAGATGAGCTCCCTTAAAAGGAGATGCATCTTGTTGGTATGAGTAGTACTATTAATCCGTTTATATTAAATCTCAAGTGTTACAATCACCCCCACTTAGGATCGCAACGTCCTCGTTGCGCCCTTAAACCAATCTCAATCAAATCCCAGAAACGTTTCCCCTGCTAGGTGTCAGCCCGATATCCAACGGATCAGCACACTGTCACAGGGTTGCTCTGATACCACCTGTAACACCCCGGCCCCACCGGACCCGAGGTAGTTACTCCGGACGAATAATACTGTCCTCACAAACCGCCACTAGCCTTTTCCGCGCACTTTGTCCTCACTCGTGCGCGCCCTGAGAAACTTCCCAGGGGGTCACCCATCCCAAGACTACTCCCGTGCAAGCACGCTTAACTTTGGAGTTCTTGGGAGATGAGCTCCCTTAAAAGGAGATGCATCTTGTTGGTATGAGTAGTACTATTAATCCGTTTATATTAAATCTCAAGTGTTACAGGCCATCTTCTTGATGTGCCAGAGCTACAGTTCTCAGCGCAAATTGTCCATAGCCTCTTGTTGAGACTAGTGTGTGACCAGCCTAAGGATGAACTATGGTTTTGCGTCAATGAAAAGCTGTTAAAGTTTACCTACAATGACTTTGAACGCATTACTGGGCTCCGTTCTATGGGTCCAACTCCGGTCATCTCTGATGTGGATGAAGGCAATGGGATGTTACTAGATAAGTTCTTCGGTGGTGCGAGTGAGATCAGTTTTGGGACCTTGACAGCAAAGATGCAGTCACTAAAGCCGAAAAAGGCAGGACCTCGCGGCGATCCTCTGAAGCTTGCATGTGCTTTTTACGTGCAATGTGTTTTGATACCAAGGAACAAGAAAACATTGATGAATTCTCAATTTCTGAAATTGGCGGATGATTTGGACAGATTTAAAGCATACCCCTGGGCAAAAGTGTCCTACAATCTAATGGTTTCTCAGATAAAGACTCTTATGGTTGGACAGGGCGATAGGTTTAAGGAGAATAAGAAAGCCAAACCTCAATACAAAAATGCAAAGTTCACATTGCACGGCCTTCCTCTCGTCCTACAGGTAATGTTCACCTTATATTTGATTGTGTGTTTGTATTGTCACGTTTGCATGAAACACAAACAATTTTTTTCTGAAAACAGACATTTCATCCTTTATTACAGACATTTCTTAACTGTAGACAGACAACGTATTCTGCCACATTGTTTTTGTTTAATTTTCTTTTGTTGTTTTTCAGGTTTGGGCCTACGAGAGTCTGCCAGAGCTAGGACGGAGATGTGCTGAACGTGTTGGCAATCATGACGTCCCCTTGCTCAATTAGAAGGCTACGGGGTTCTTTCATTTGCAAACGCTAAATGAAATGATTTTCAAGGATCATTACAATGTAATGTATTTGTGTGTTTTAAAATATGAAATTTTGCTTCAAAGTGTGTAAATAACTATAGCTTGTACGTGCAGGAGGAAGATGAGGAAGACGATGGTGAAGATGATGATGGCTTCAAATCCAAGATGATGGCTGAAATGAAAAAGCTACGGGCGCAAGTGGTGTCTCTGGAGGCGCGGCTGAAAGTAATGGAAGATAGATTGGTTGTTGGGAGTGTGGCCGAGGAGAAGCATGATGAAGATGAAGATGCCAAGCATCAAGGTGATGAAGATGAAGAGCAAAAGCATGATGAAGTTGCAGTTGTTGCGGAGGATCATGTGGAAGTAAGTTTTATTGTGTTTCCAACAATAGAACATGTTTCCCCTTGCAATGCTTTTCTGAATGTCTGTCTTTCCTTTATTTTTGTCTGTCTGATATATTATTTGTCTGTCTGTATGTCCTTTACAATTAAATGTAGGTGGAAAATGAAAATGCATCTGATTTCAATGCTTCTGTACCTTCTGATGAGATTCATGCATCTCTAGTTGAAATTGAGAAGCATGTGGAAGTAAGTTTTGTTCTGAATGTCTGTCTTTCCTTTATTTTTGTCTGTCTGATATATTATTCGTCTGTCTGTATGTCCTTTACAATTAAATGTAGGTTGAAAATGCAAATGAATCTGATTTCAATGCTTCTGTACCTTCTGCTGAGATTCCTGCTGCTCTAGCTGAAATTGAGAAGCATGTGGAAGTAAGTTTTATTCTGCATGTCTGTCTTTCCTTTTTATTTGTCTGTTTGATATATTATTCGTCTGTCTCTATGTCCTTTACAATTAAATGTAGGTGGAAAATGCAAAAGCATCTGATTTGAATGCTTCTGTTCTTTCTGATGACATTGTAGCTGAACATGACAAGCAAGACGGAGTACGATTTCATATGTTTTCAATTATAGAACATGTTTCCCCGTTCCAAACATCGCTGAATTGTCTGTCTGTTGTTTCTACCTTTCATGTTTTCTTATTTTTTTCTCATAAATTGTTTGTCTATCCTTTATCATTAAAACCAGCAGCGTATTGATGAGCGTCATAAAGCTGAAGTTGAACATGAGAAGAATGAAGAAATTGCACATGTTGCCGAGGGGAGTCAACATGCTCACGTTGAAGGTGTTGACATGTTTGAAGCATGTACTGATGATATTGGGCAGGAGGGCCAAATTGGTGACGTGCATGAAGTAAGTTTGTGTTTCCCAGTTTATTTCCTCTTTCCTAAATGATGTGTATTGTCTGTCTTTCCTTTTTATTTGTTTGTCTACGGTATATTAATTGTCTGTCTGTATTTGGGCCGATATTTTCCTAAATATTATTTAACATAAAATGCAGGTGGATAATGAAAATAATTCCGAGAATCATGACTCTGTATCTTCTGATAAGGCATATTGGGATGACGTGGTGGATGAGTGGCAAGCTGCCGCTAAAGGGGACTTGGAGGCTGAGGCGAGTGATGTGGGGATGAAAAGGAAAAAGTTCGCCTCTAAGTTCATGCTTAGCCCTTTCACCGATCCTAACCCAAAACGGTTGAAAGGCGTGAACAAAGCAAAGGATAATCTCAGCCAAGTAGATGAATGGACTGATTTTAAGAATTGGGTTGAAGCTGATGACAGTGTTTCCCCTTCAAGTGTCAGGCTACGTGTCCATGAACTGCTTGAAGTGAGCAGGAGTTTTTTCAGAGTCCTAGTATCTCCTGACCACTGGATGTCGAGCACGGTGAGATCATTGTACACCTAGACCTTTTGAGTTAATGTTTTTTGAGAATTTTTTTAACACTGTTTGTTATGTTTGAAGCACCTTCATGCAATAACGTACCTGCTAAATAAAAGCATTTGTGCGCATACGGTGACTTTGATCAGCCCTTACGTTGTGGTATGCACCTTTTTTTTTCCGTGTTATGTTCTTTTTAGTAGCCTTACATTTTTTTTTGTTATGTGTGTAGCATAAAATCCTTAAGAAAGATATAGGCAACGACACACATTGGAGTGGAGATAAATACCTGAAAAAGCTGGACTGGAAAAGTTGTTTGAAGGTATTGTCTGTCTAAGTGTTTTAAACGTCTGTCTAATATTATTTCGCACCTGTTTTGTCTGTCTCGATAGAACACCTAACATTTTTGATGAAACGTTAATTCTTGGCAGGTTTTGTTTCCCTTAAATATTGAAAACAAGCACTGGATCTTGGCGGAAGTTGTGTTTCGGAGCAGACTGGTTAGAGTATACGACTCGCTTAAGACTTCTAGGACTCCATTTTATGCTAAGGACTTGTGTGAGCGGCTGCCATACCTAGTTCGTGCCATTGGTATTTGTACGAATGACAGTGATTTGCAACCGTGGAAAGCAGTAGCTGTGGATGGTGTGCCACAACAAAAAGAAGCGTATGAAATTTAATATTAATATGCATAACATTTATTGTCTGTGTAAGTGTTGTAACTCTCTGTGTTGGATAATTTTGTCTGTTTACAGGTCGGGTGAATGTGGCGTGATGGTCCTAGCTTTTGCAGAGCAGCTACTCCAAGCGAAATCATTGCTTCCTGATTGCGACTATGGCAACATGTCGAACAAAAGACTTGAGTATGGTATTCGGCTTTGGCGCTTGAAGAAGGAAGATGCGTAGAGTGTTGTAGAAATCATTTTTATTTGAAGTTGTAGTTCGAACAAGTATTGATTTTGTGTATCTATTGAACTTGGAAACAATGAAAAATGGTTGGGGTATTTTGGGGAAATATGTCGAAGTTTGTACAATGTCATGTACTAAATGTTGTACAATCTTCAACAATTGGGTGCTATGTTTTCTGCGTGTATGTTTATTTTGCAAACAATTCATTCACAGGTGACCACTTATTTATGTGGATTTTTTGTTTGTATGAGAATATTTTGTTTTGTCTGTGAGGTTATAATTTCAGCGTTATCGTGTATTGTATGTGATTTGCACAACACCGAATGTCTGTCTGGTTATGTGTGTTGTCTGTGTACGTATATTTATTGTCTGTCTATCATTTCAAGCAACGCAACACAAAATGTCTGTCTGGTTATGTGTTTTGTCTGTGTACATCTATTTATTGTCTGTCTATTATTTGAAACAACGCCACATTGATGATTCATAACAAACTTCAGTTTTCAGTTACCCCGTTATCATTCACATTACGTTTATACGAGGCAATAAGGTTCAAAGCACAAAAAAGAGTACATGATAAACTACATCAAACTTGGGTTTAAGTCCAACCCATAATCATTCATACATTCCATAAATACAACCATATGTCCAAAACTTATACACACTTTCACATAGCAACTACATTTTCTATCAAAACATACTACATAAAACTATTGTAACTATACTTGCATGTCCATACAGACATTATTTTTACGTAGACAGACAAAATAAATTGTCTGTCAGACAGACATTATACATATGGGTCAAACAACAAACCTACTATGTTTCAGTAGACAGACACTGCACTTATAACTACTCTGATAGACAGACAACCCCTTTTCATATCCCAAAAACACCAAAAAAATCAAGAAAACAAAATCAAGAAAATCAAGAAAACAAACCCAAGACAAAAACACATACTCAAGCCTTCCACCCCTGGACCTTGTTCATCTTCGTCCCTCGACCTCGCATCCAGTTCGCCGGAAACTGCCGTACGATCATCATCTTCACCTTCATCACCTACCTCTCCAAAAATCATGTCATCCAAGAGTAATCCATCAACCCACTCGGATGTATCATTCCCATTTAGCTCCATTGAAGAAAAGTTCCAACGGAGAAGATGAAGGATGTCTCACTCTTCTCTTCGGTTGTTTGCTCGAATCGGTGCTTCCGAGTTTGCGTGACTTCTGCGCAGGGGAGGGAGGGAGGGTTGTGAGAGGGGAGAATTATTTGGGGGTAAATGATGGTAAAAATAGGGAGTATTTATATGGGGTGCCAAGGGTGTACACAAATTGTGTACCCCAAGCTTAATTCCTTCATATTTTGACTCACCGATATAGCTACTAGCTAGTTCCTTGAAAATCTGAAATAGGACGTACGTATACTTATAATTTAGTTAGTGGAAAAATTCACACCAATAATCTCAACTAGTCATGATCTTCTTATATTAAATTTCCACTTTTTCTTTGAGAGGCCTTTGGTTTGTCAAAAAAAGATTCGGAGATTTAAATATAGGATAAGAATGAATTGTCCGACGAATTTTTCTCTCTAGGGTTCGGCGGTTTTCCGCCGTTGCCTTAGTGTAGCCCGATATTTCCCTCTTCGCCTGTCAACCTTGGTTCGAATTGTATCGATACTAAGGAAGGGCGAGAAGGTGGCTTTGGTTTGTTGCTATCGGCAGGTTTTGGAAGAGTGCAGACGAAGACATCAAATTCGACTGCTGTGGCTGTGGGTTTGGGACGAGCAAGCTTTTCTCTCGAAGGGGCATATCGGCGGCTGTGGTTTGGGATTTTTCAACTATGGAGGATGTGGGAGAGCAGTATAGACGACTGGCTTTGGAGAAAGAAAATAGTACACTGAATTTTGATGATGAGGAAGAAGAAGAAGAAGCAACCGTTCCAAAGGCAAAGGAGGCGGAGTTTCCGGTGGTGGGAGTCATTCTCACCGACCGGAAAGTCATATCTCAGTCACTACAGGAACTGTTTGTATCGCTCTGGAGGCCAGGAAGAGGAATGGCGTTTCAAGAAATTGATGAAAATAGGTATCTTTTCACTTTTAATCATAAAATTGATATGAATCGTGTTATAGAAGATGGTCCTTGGCTATTTGAGCGGAATCTGTTACTGCTAAAGGCAGTTGGCCCTAATGATATACCGCATAAAATGGACTTGTTTGAAGCCGCAGAGTTCTGGGTGCAAGTGCACAATGTGCCGTACAAGTTTATGAATGTAGATACTGCTAGGAGGGTGGGTAACTATATTGGGGAATTTATTAGTTTTGATGAAAGCCACTTTAAGGGAAAATGGAGTTCTTACTTGAGGGTTAGGATAAAGATAAATGTCAGAAGACCCTTAAAAAAGGGTTCCACTTTGACTAAAGGAGGGGAAGGACACTGGGTAGATTTTAAATATGAAAAATTACCAAGCTTCTGCTTCATTTGTGGGATTATGGGGCACTCTGAGAAGTTTTGTCCATTAAAATATGTGGAGGGTCTAGTTTTGGAGAAAAATTTTAGTGCTGATCTGAGAGCAGGTGTTGGGGGTAAGATTAGCCCCACGAGGGGCGGTAAGTGGTTGGGGGATAAACAGGGAGGTTCGAGTCAGCACTGAAGGGCTCAACATAATGGAGAAGGCACTATGGGAGAGGAACGTAGGGGAAATACAGCTGAGTCTGAAAGCAGTGGCACAAAGGAAGAGACTAGAAGCGGTGCAGGGGAGGTCGTGGTGGATCAAAAGCGCAGGAGAGTCTGGAAGGAACCGTCAGAGGAAAACAACTCAGGGGAGGAGATGGCACTGGACAGCACAAAAAACGGGGAGGAGGCGGGTCTCAGCTCCTAGGCCCGCCTGATGTGTTCATGAAGCTGCAGGTGCAGAGTTTCCACGGTGGTGCTTATTTTATTATTGCTTGTTTTGTTTCTTTTGATGGTCAGACTGTTGTTTTGGTTATTTGTTTTGGTTATTTATGTAAGACTCTTGCATTAGGCTCGGTGATGAGTGTGTTGCAGTAACCATTATTGGCTCAGTTATGCCCAGTTTAGGATCAGCGAGTTATACTGCTTTTTTGAAGGTGGTTAACTCAGAGTCTGGCCCAAGGGCGGATGGTTATCGGTGGTACTCTTGTTATTTTAGATCCTTGCTGAATGCTTTTATTCTAATATAAGCCCCCTTCATTAAAAAAAATGATCTTCTTATATTAATCCCAGTTATTGGTAATTCCAATATAATCTAAACTATAAGGTATATCTTCCAATATCAAACTGGTGACCTGCTCAAACCCATTCAACAGGTTACCTCGCCATGTGGCTTATTTTGATTGGACTTTTTTCACTTTTCTTTTTGTTTTATTTCATTTTCTTCTTTTATTTCCTTTTTTTCAGAATTATGAAAAGTAAACTTTATGGAGGATAACGAACTGATATTTTCATTACAATCCAGAAAGAGAAACGTACAAAGACTATTTATAGCAATCTATATATTCTAACTAACAAACTGAAAGAAGATACTAGAAGAAGTTTGTTACAAAATGCTATACAAACATATGTATCTATAAGTTATCCTTTATCCAATGCTTCTGATTTCTTTGCGTCCAGATCTTCATTGACTTTCTTTCTCCAATACTCCCCCTCAAGATGTGCATATATGTTTTGCATGCACATCTTGCTTAACAGAAAATTCATTCTTTTGGCTGAAATTCCTTTTGTGAACAAGTCTGCCAACTGCAAATCAGATCTCACATGTATCATCTTAAAAATGCCTTTTGCATATTGTTCTCTTACCACATGACAATCTATTTCTATGTGTTTAGTTCTTTCATGGAAAACTGGGTTAGATGCTATGTTCATAGCAGCTACGTTATCACAGAATAATAAACATTCTTCATTTCTTCTTATTCCCATATCTTCCATAATTCTTATCAGCCATATCATTTCACAAACTCCTGCTGCTAGAGCCCTGTATTCTGCCTCAGCTGAGGACCTGGACACAGTTTGTTGCTTTTTAGATTTCCATGATACTAATGAATTTCCAATGAAAGCACAATACCCAGTAATTGATCTTCTAGTTTCAGTGCATGCTGCCCAATCTGCATCACAGTACATGTGTATCTTCATGTTATTCAATTTTGGGTAAAACAATCCTTGTCCTGTTGTCCATTTAATGTAGCGCACAATTCTCAATGCTGCTCCTAAATGTACATCTGTGGGTTTAGCAACAAACTGACTGAGTATTGACTGCATATGATATATCAGGACGAGTCACAGTTAAATATAGCAATTTTCCAATGATTCTTCTATATTCACTTGGATCTTCTAAAATTGTCCCAGAATCTTGCATAAATCTGACATTTTGATCAATGGGGAATAGTGATGGTTTTGCATCCAATAAACCACATTCATTAATGATGTCAAGAGCATATTGTCTCTGATTGATGCATATGCCCTTATCATTCCTTGCAACTTCTATTCCCAGAAAGAATCTTAAGTGTCCCATATCTTTTAGCTTAAAATGTTGCTTCAGATATTTCTTCAGATCATCAATCATATCATCATCATTCCCAGTGATGATGATGTCATCTACATACACCAATAATAGAGTGATAGAATCTCCCATTTGTTTTACAAACAAAGAGTGATTATTCTTTGATTGTACACATCCATATTGAGTAATGATAGTGCAGAACTTGTGATTCCATTGCCTGGATGCCTGTTTCAATCCATATAAGGATCTCTCTAGCTTGCATACCACATTCTCCCCCTGTCTAGAGAAACCTTGAGGTAACTGTATATAAACTTCCTCATTTAACTCTCCATATAGGAAAGCATTATTAACATCAAGTTGGAAGATATTCCAAGAATGAGCTGCAGCAATGCTAAGAAGACATCTAACAGTAGTGATCTTGGCTACAGGAGAGAATGTTTCAGAATAGTCAAGTCCAGGTTTTTGTGTGTAGCCTTTAGCCACCAACCTTGCCTTATATCTCTCAATTGACCCATCAGCTTTATACTTTATCTTGTAAACCCACTTACAACCTATTGCTCTTTTCCCAGGAGGTAAAAGTTGCAAAGTCCATGTTTTATTTTCTTCAAGAACAGTAACCTCAGTTCTCATTGCTTCTTGCCAGTGAGGTATTA